CTATTTACTTTTTTGTCATGAAGAAAAAAAAAGGAAGGTGGTTAGATGATATCTGGAGAAATCGTCATGAATGCTCATTAAATCAAAGTTTGATCTGGAATCAAAATTGAGATGTTGTATTAATAAAATACAGATGGCTCATTTGTGTTTATGCATGACTGTGTGTACGAGCGATTGTGTGCAGAGGCGTTCTAGTTTTTTTGTTTGTTTTTTTGCTTTTGAGTCATAGCTTTTCAAAATCACTATAAACAAAGCTGGTATTTGATCTTTATTTTACCGATACATTACATAAATAGTGACTAAAAGGTTGAAGTTTTTCTATTCTGTGAGTTCCTCATGCATCAAGGAAGCGTGTGTCCTAAAGATATTTTTGTCTTTTTCTTTACAATAGCACATTCTTACTTCTCTGCAGATGTAATTCTTGCAAAAGGAAAACATTTTAATTGAAATTTTTACTTGATCTGTGGGCCCAGAAGGGAATGGAGAACATTATTCAGACTCTCTGACAGAGTTGCAAGCATTTAGTGCAAACTTAAACGCCATCAGGGAGCCAGTAAGTGTTAGAAGATGGTTGCATGTGACAAGAGGACACTCTTTTTCTATTTTTGTGGTAGAACAGCTTCATGTGGTCAGTGTTTCAAAGGAAGGAAGTAGAAGGAGGGTTGGACTGTGACACTAAATGAAGATATGTACCGTCTCAGTTCCCCATTTTCATTAAACTTGTACTCTCTGCTTGTCCTTCTCCACTCACGCTCATACAGAACAAGTCAGATCTTGTAGGTTAGGATGGGGAAAACCTCACTCTGTTGGGTGACTTTACTTTGTGAGTACAATTTGTGTGTGTGTGTATGTGTGTATGGCTGAAATGGCAGTGTGTTTATCAAATGTATAATATGTCTCAGTAAGTTATGATGTTTAATGTCTAAAATCTGCTTTTTAGTGCTGCATATGGTCTTCAATTTTGGACATGCACAAGGTGACGTAACGTCTTTTTTTTATCTGTTACTCTGGATCTTCACACTAATTTTACTCTTAAACCTTTTCCAGTTGAATATGTTTTGGCATAACACAAGTAGCCTAGCATTCATTGTTTACATCTTGTGTTTTTTGTTGTTTAATCTAGATGTTCAGTTGACCCATGACCCCAGTTCATCCACTTTATTTCTTGGAGAGTCTGTTACCTTCACATGCAACATGACAGCAGGATACGACTCTAACTGGCGCTACCTATTCCATCGAAACGGTCAACACATTGTCTCCAAGTCAGATGTTTCAAAGTTCCTTCAACTCGACCTAACGACCGACCTGAGCGGGCGATACCAGTGCTCCGCTTATCATAAGGACTCGCCAGGGTTCATCAAGCAGAGTAACAACATCACGCTTTCTGTGGCAGGTATGTTCACGTTACCGTCTCTGCAGTCGGGTTTGGCATCAGAAGCATCACAAGCTTAGGCATCTGACATAGAGTTTGGATAGAGAGTGCAGTTTGAGTTGTCTTGCTTGAAGTTTCCTTAACCTGGGAAGTCTGCATCCTGTTTGATGATTTCATTTGTAAATTTCATGTTGGAAATGTTGAAGTTATGAACTTCAACATTTCGTATGTTGGATCCAACATTCATTTGGAATGAATGTTGGATCCAACATTCATTTGAGCAGGATGATGTCAGTGTTGAGGGTGGGAGGGGACATACATACATTACCTACATATATGCATTTTTCCTTGAATGGTATTGTTGACTCAAGACCTTCGCTTAGAGGCGGGTCTGGAGGGGGAGCATATGCGGCCATGTTCCAGCACTCATAGATAGTATCAGCTTTTCTGCTGCTGTTGAACTGACCACAGTGAAGTCACTTTGGGTAGTTGCAGACCGAGTTGCACAGCTAAGTCTTTTACAGAAGTGACAAAAAAAAAAAGCAGAAATGCTCAAGCTGTAGAGCTTGAGCAGGTAATGAAAACATTGCATGCTGTTTGCACACATCCTCTGCAATATCATTTTCTTCTTAATTCAAATTGTTTCTCAACTCCACTAAATAACCTCTGCAACATCTTCGAATACTGTTAGAAAAAAAGATTGTTTGAGATAAAACGATTGTGAACATCTCTTTCCTATTTGATGTCGTCTGAATGTTTGCTAAAAATCTGGAGCTTAACACAAAAACAGAACTGTGACTGTTTGACAGTCACAAAATACGACTAGGACGATAAGAAGCCAGCTTCCTGCCTGACCAGAAGGTGTCATAGTTGGGTTATTTCTGTTAAGCTGTTCTCAACTCTAGGGTTTCCATGGAAACATAAAGGAGATAAATCATTCTAAGATGTCTTAAAGTAAACATGCTCTGAGATAGACATGCACTTTTTGCGAGTAGGCCAGTAGGCAGTGCCTGTTCTGCTTACAATGATCACATATTATTGGCTAAATGCCAGAATGGGATAATTTCTTATTTCTTTACTCATATTTGAAAATATATGCATCCTAACATTAATATGCATTTTCATGATTGGCACGATTGTCATAATTTTGTACATTTCAGCTAAATGGAGGCCCAACTTTGGATAATAAATATTTTCCTCTCGTACAAAGTTTTTCTTTTCTTGTAGTTTTGGGGATATACTCTTGTCACTTCTGACCGTTGTCTGACCGAGACATCTGCTGTTCTCTTCCTTAGTGTCAAACTAGGACTGCAGGAGGGTTAAAGCACATCTTAAGCATATTTTCCTTTTGCGACGTCACCTATCCAAAGAAACCTTTGAACTTTCAGAAATGAGAGAGTATAGAGTAAAGAGGAGTGGACTGAAATCCCTCCTGAGATTTCTGGAAACTTGGTAACGCTAGGGTTTTACCACCAGTTACTCACATCTTGTTTGAGGATCAACTACTTATTTCTCTCGGTGAAATACTAATGAATTCACAAATTCTGACTTTTATTTAACGTTTATACATATAAATAATGTAAAATAATGAATTAAGTATGCAGCCTAAACATAATTTTTTGATGCTGTTTTTTTTTAAATATCTATAATAATAATAATGTAAAACAAAACTGCTTTTAAATAAATCAGCCAACAGGCCTACAGCTACTGTGACTGCAGACAGGAAGACCATTTCAGAGGACAGACCGACTGAACTTACCTGTTCAGTTCAAGACTCTGCCGGATGGAAGTATGACTGGTTCAGGCACATATTCTCTGAAGGCCAGATTGAAAGCAATGTTGTCAAAAACACCATCAACATCCACCGTGGAGGCATCTACTGGTGCAGAGGAAGAAGAGGAAGCCCAGATTTCTTGACTGAGCCCAGTGAAATGTTCTACATTGAGAACACATGTGAGTTTCACAACATGAAGAAAAGAACATGAGCTGAACAGTGTTGTTTGGCATTCACAGCTTAATTTTTTTTCTGTACTCAAACCATAATCAGTGTCCAACCAGGCAAATGTTGCTTTGCAACATGACTGGAGTCAGATATACAGCGGTGAGGCAATATCCATGAGCTGTGAGATAAAGGGAGGAGGAAACTCTAAGTGGGAATACGAGTGGAGAACAACAACTTCAAAGCCGCCATCAAGAGAGAGAACAGTTCATATTAGAGCCTCTGTTTTCTCCAGTGGTGACTTCTGGTGTAGGGGGAGAGCAGATCCATTTTCCTCAACCGAGTGGAGCCAAACATACCATCTGAGAGTATCAGGTAAGTACTTATTTTTGTTTTTTTGTGTCTTTTGGTAATTTTTTCAGCAAATGATGCTTTATTCTCACCACAAATAAACCACAGATAAACCAAGACCCACGGTGAGGGCCGATAAAAGACTCATACCAGTAGGGGGCAACTTAACTCTCACCTGCTCTGTGGACAATCCGACTGAGTGGAAATACTACTGGTTCAGACACACTGGCAACATTTCTGAAGTTCAGACCGTTGACGAAGGAAAATCAGAAAATGTCATCAGTATCTCTCAGGGAGGAGTGTACTACTGTCAGGGAGGAAGAGGAAGTCCAGTCTTCTTCACTGAAGAAAGTCATCGGATCACCATTGAGAAAAGAGGTAGTTATGGTGACGTTCATGGCTGTTAGCATGATCCATGACTAATCTTTAACAATTCACCACTTTTTTCTCACCTGTATTGTGTTTTCACAGTTTCCAATATGGCTTCTGTTTCTCTGGAGCCTGACTGGCCCGTGATTTACTCTGGAGAGACGATCACTGTTAGATGTGAGATTTCTGGAGGTAGAAACAACGAATGGGTTTATGAATGGAGCAAGCCAATATCAGATACATTACCAACGAATGAATACCGAATTGTTGATGCATCTGAGTCCAGCAGTGGGAACTACAGGTGTTTGGGGAGAAACAAGCAGGATCTGTATTCATCGACCGAGTGGAGCGACATCACGACAGTCACAGTTTCTGGTGGGAATAAAATTCATCTTGACCCAGATCCCATTATTTTCATTATAGTGTAAAACATAGACCTTTTTGGTTTCATCTGTACTTACTGTTATAAAAAAGATATTATTTATAGACAGACCTCGAAATGTTGTTTTGCTGCAGCGCAAGAACACAATTCTACCTTTTAATTGTAGTACGAATGTAGTATTTCAGTGCAGTGTTAACAAACTCTTGCTTGTCTGAAGACTTTTGGTGAGTGACTTCAAATGAGACAAGAGTCTTCTTACACCTGTCCAAATAAACTGGGCACATCCTGGTGAGAAAGATCACCAAGAATCCAATCCTCCCATCTTAACCAAACCATTGCTAAAACCTTCTGTCGATTTGGTCTTTGTGGAAGTGTGGCTTGATGAACATAGTAGCATTGTTGAATTTTGCCAAAGCATTCCTTACAGAGTGCCATGAACATGAGAAATACCATTGTGGACTGCTCATCTCACAAACAATAACCTTTTCATCAAGCATGCTGGAAGAAGCTGTCTACTTTGGAGAAGTTTTTCTGCATAAATGGAAGGATGACAGTTGACAAATATTCAGAAATGTCTCACGAAAATTGTTTGAGAGTGCCTTACATTTCAGACTAAAGGAAAACCTTGTAGATTTTTCTTTTAATCAAAAATTTAGGAAATAAATATCAGTTTGGACAACAGTCTGGAGTGGTGTAGCAGGACCCTTGAATTATTTTTTTTTAAATACAGAGTGAATGTCAGTTTTGTTCCTACAACACTTAACGAGCCTATTAGTTTAAACACTAAGAATATTGAGTTTGATAGTTGAAAGCATTTATTTCAATGTCATTAAGAAACTGATGTTTAATTTGCAGCTGCAGTGTTTTTTAGTGTTTATTTTTGTTCTTTTTGTTCTTTTTTAACAATAGTTTACCTCTTTATCTCAACAGAGCAGAGACCGAAGGCTCAAATTATTCCTGACAGAGACTCAGCAGGGGGCACTGTGACCCTAACCTGTTCTGTTAAACCATCTTCATCATCATCATCTAGTTGGACTTACTACTGGTACAGAGTCGAGATCGCCTCTAAACCTGTGGAACTGAAATCTGATACAAACGGAGAACTCGTTACGTCAGAGAATGGATTGTATTTCTGCAGAGCAGGAAGAGGACGCCCAGTTTACTACACAGAGTCCAGTCAGTCAGTTACTGTCGACATACCTGGTAGGTGTTTCAATGAGTTAGTACATCGATTTTTGAGGTTCATACAGAAAATAATCCTTATCAATTTTTTCCTTTAATTTGGAACAGCGACAGACAAACAGAGACCTGTTGTGACTCAGCAGCCAAACTGGCCTATGATGTACTATGGTGAGAAGGTCACTCTGAGATGTCAGATCCAGGGACAACCTACAGATTGGGTTTTTGAATGGATTTCATCCAGTGGGGATGCACCATCAACCCAAAATGACATACTTAGTTTAGATTATTCATTTTCTAAGTACTACTGGTGTAGAGGCAGGAGGAAGAGTGAGCCACAGAATGTCACTTGGTGGAGCGCTCCCTTTACGAGGAGATATGCTTCGTGTAAGTCAAGTAACATTGTTTTTTTATGTTAAACTAGATCACTCATTTAAATTCTTCTGTTACTGAGAAACTTTCTTCAACAGCACCAACGCCAGTCCTCACTGTGTCTCCATCATGGCTGAGTCCTGGAGCCTCAGTGACTCTGAGCTGTGAGGTGGAACATCCATCTGCAGGATGGAGGTTCTACTGGTATAAAGCTGTTCCTGATTTATTACCTATTATGGAGTTTGCTGCACGCAGACGTAGGAGTTTTTACTTTCCCAGTGGATACAGGTTTGAAAACCTGCCTGGCACTATCAAAGGGACTGTAGAGAACTCCTTCATCATTCATGGACAGAAACAAACAGCAGGGTTTGCATGTAGAGCTGGAAGAGGAAACCCAGAGCATTTGACTGATTACAGTGAACCAAAGTTTGTCTGGTCTGCAGGTCAGTCTTGCTTCTTTTCATCCACATGTTCTACATTCACTCAGTTTAGAGAACACTCAGTCCAAGTAAAACATGTTTAAAAATACAATTGACAGATTTTGGTTTAAGATGAACATATTGCATATCGGCAATATTTTCTATGCAATTTAGTTCACTGTGACAAAAGCATGTAAAGTAAGTGTTGCATGCTATAATAGCATTTTTGAATTAATGTTGTTTTTCAGATCCTCATCCAGCAGCGTCTCTCTCAGTGAGTCCTGACAGAGAGCAACACTTCACCTCTGAGTCTGTGACTCTGAACTGTGGAGGAAACTCTACTGAGTGGAGAGTGATGACTCCTAGCAGAATTTATGCCTGGTCTTCACTATACAGCTACTCCGAGAAAGTAAATGGATTCACAACAGAAATGATAGCTTACCGGCACTCTACTGCAGTGTACTGGTGTGAGTCTGAATCAGAGGGGTGCAGCAATGCAGTTAACATCACAATACATGGTTTGTTTTCTTTATTTCTTGTTTTGATTTAATATAAATTGTAATATTTCCTCACTTGTTCATAGTCCTAACTTAGAAATGTTGTAATTGAGTAAAAGAAGAAATTTGCATCTTGAAATTTTAGATAATTAAAAAATAGATGACACTGTACATTATAAATTATCAAATATTCTCAATAGTTTTTAATACAATGATCTCCGTCTTACATAAAGGTCTGCTATTTTCCAGATGGTGATTTAATCCTGGTGAGTCCTGTACATCCCGTTAATGAGGGAGATCCTGTCACTCTTGGCTGCGAACTGAGGACAGGGAACTTCACGTCCACTGTGGGATTCTACAAAAATGATAAACTTATCCAGAACACAGTCAGAGGAGAGCTGAGTATCCCTGCAGCGTCGGCTTCAGACGAAGGTTTCTACAGGTGTGAACATTCAGGAAAGGCGTCTCCACAGAGCTGGGTGGCAGTGAAAGGTGGGTTTTATGAATGTACTTTAAATGTTTTTCATCGCCTTCCACTTTGACATTGAATAAAAATGTGTAACTCTAATTTGTGCCTCCGTTTTGTTTCTTAGCTGTTTCTGCTTTGCCTGTAGCTTTAACTTTAATTTTACTGCAAAGACTTTTACAGGAGAACCAAAAACAGGCAGCAATAAGACAAAGCTGCTTGTCTGATTATAATATGAAAGAAGCTCACGCTTTTATATGCATGTGAACTCTTTTTTTCTTTTTGCCATCTAAAAATCATGTTCTCTTTGAAACATATTCTTTATTTTCTTGACAGCATCAAGTTCTTCTCTTCCGGAGTCGCTGATTATTGGACTAGTTGTTGGTTTCCTGCTGACTGTCCTCCTCGTCATTGTGTTGGGTCGGTACATTACAAATGTTTTCTGCCTGTTCTTGAATGTCAACACAGTCATTATCTTACTTGTTCTGTATGAAGTTATGTATTTTTTTGTCCACAATCTCTTTATGTGGTATATTAACTTTCAGTCTCTTCTGCAGCAATTTTACGCAACAGGTAAGCAAACCTTTCTTTCGTTTTTGCATTTTACTACAGAGTAATGCTGGAAAGATCTTTAAGTTTGAAAAATGTATAAGCAAAATGACTGTTTTCCTAAATTAAATGTGTAAATATATATATTTATATATTTCAGGCTTTCTAAGTGTCACAGAACCGAGACCTCAGGCACAGCTCCTCATCAACAGGATGAAACGCCAAACCAGATATACTCGTCTCTCCTTCAAGGGCAGTCCTCACTAAAGTTTCAATAATTATTAACAATCCACTGCTGCTTTCGCTGTAATAATAATGTCTTTATATATTCATGTGCGTCCATTCATTTCTTCAGTACAACCCTAAACTCAGCTCACAGTTTAGTCCTAAACCGAACCCCTAACCCAAAACCAGCATCTGATATGTGGCCCGTGCTTTCAGCCCCATAATCAGCAGAGGGTCCTCACAATGTAGTATTTATTGGATAAATGGGTCTTATGCTAAATAAATGCTAAAACACACTAATGAATATATATGCATAACACATGTATCCAACATAATAATCATGCTGGAGCCATTTAGAGGCTAAATTAGAGACATTGTGGTTTGTCACTGTCTTCATTTCCACCCTGTAGGTGATTCTGCCGTTTATGAGACAATCAGAAAATCCGGTCAATGGTAGGAGTATAAACTGATTCATAAAGGATGACTGTGTATTTAAAATAAATGACTTTTAGTAAAATAAAAATGTAATCCTTTCAGATCAAAGAGTGAATGAGGACAAGAAAGTCAAACCTCGCATCCTGCTCAAAATGAAAGGTAAGTTCACTGAATGTGGGACGTTAGAACCAGAGCTGACTACTACAGGTTCTGTAATAATAATAATAATAATAATAATAATAATAATAATAATAATAATAATAATAATAATAATAATAATAATATCATTAGGATGTGGAAAATAAATCTGACTACACTGATGTGAATTTAGACTTAGCGAGTGAAGTTTTCCTGTTTATTCTTATTAAATATTCTGGTGGAGTTTAAAGGATCCTGTTGTATTATTTTAGCCTTCAGGTCACTTTGGCCCTTGGTCATTCTGTACACTTGTCTTCTCTCCATATCTCGGTTGCATACTTGTAAACAAACCATCAGGATTATGACAGCATAGTATTAAAGTTTTATTCTTAAACCTTCCACACTTCATATCATTTATTGTTCCTTTTTTTGTTTCAGATCCATAAAGTTTGCCATCTGAAGTAAGAAATGGAACAGAGGAGAGTTTTCCTAACTAAGATGTTAATTAAAATCATTGTGATTTTGTTGTACTGTTGCAGCACTCTGATGAACCAGCCGAACAAATGCATGCGTTTTCAGTTAACTATTACATATTCATGAATGTTATGCTTATCTTGATGGTGCTGGATTATTATAATCTCAAAATGTCACTATAAAAAATGGAGCAGGTGAATGAATTTTAAGTATGAGCTTCCATGCTAGGTATTTTTTTATTTCTTTTTATTGTATTTTCCTTTTATATTTCAATAGCGTTTTATGAAAATACCCTATATGTGATTTCCACTGTTTTGTTTGGCCGTTTTTAGTATCTCCTCCAGCTGGACGTTTGTGGTGTAAAAACATGTATTGTCTTCATAATAAAGTTAAAAGGTTTTTTTTTTTTGCTTTTCATAAAGCACTGTGGGTTGTATCTGTTTTCAAAACGTTCACATCCGACAAGACATTAAAAGTACGGTACGCACATTAACACAAATCAGTGAAATCAGGTGATCTGTATTTTTGCACAAGAATATATTAAATAGCAAGAATGACAAAGCACCAAAGAAGAACATATCTTAGGTACATGACCAACACCTGTTTCAATCTAAAACAGTTTGTATCTTTAGTATTATTCCTTTTATTCATTTTTTTGTTTTTTAAGAATAAATTAAATTGATCTGTTGCATTATTTTCCATTCAATGAAGCCATGGACTCTCTCTGTCTGCCTTCATGGCTCCAGTCATCCATCAGCTCATCTGAGACACAATTACTGACTCCCTCGTCACTGACATCAGAAATCCAGAGGGCGGTTTTAGTGCAGCACCAACCAGATGAAATGATTTTAAGCCTCAGCTCTCTCCTGGATCCAGCTCTGTTCATCCTGGTTGGTGATGGTCAGCAGGTTATTGTGGAGGTTATTAAAATGAGGCATTCTCCCAGTTAATCTGCTCCTTGATCAGCATCGCTATCTGTTGAAGAGAGAATAAATACGTGCTGCTTTGCTGGAGTCATGACCTCATCTTCGATTTTAGTCACTTAATACGCATCAGCTAATCAGCCGTGGCAGCAAGAGTCCCACAAACGCTTTAGACTGAACAAGTTGCAAGATAATAACCAGACCCATCAGTTTCTGTGACTTCTCAGTAATGTCACAGTTTCAAACCCTCAATCTTTTCTCACAATGCTGCATTTAAAAGGGATGTTGCTTCTGTGGTCTTTAGAAAAAAACATCAAGACAATACCAGACAAAAATATAGCTTAGACCAGGGGTCCTCAAACTTTTTCCTGCGAGGGCCACATAACTGTTCCCTTTTCTGGTCAGGGGCCAGTCTTAGTTTTTCGAGAAAGAAACCTTAGAAAACTTTTGTTGACGATGGGGGGGGGGGGGGAGGTGTAAAGTCTTGTGGTTTTACCTATACTCTGAGTGAAAAAACAGAAGCAAAAAA